TTCTGAATCCGAGAGCGCTTCCAAGCAAACTGTGCTGTTCCGGGCTGGTTCCGACTCCTGCGGGCGCACAGATCAGCACCTACACCTCTCACTGGCAAGTGAATTGCCACATACCACCGAGACTCACGGAGGCGACGAGGAGATGGCTGAAGCGATTGCCGAACTTCATTTGGGCAGCACTGTCATTGGAAATAGAGATTTTGACAGGGAAAAACAGCCACTGAATATCCCCAATAATTTGTGTTTTTCAGAGGGAAAACACATGAAGTGTCATAGCGCCCAAAATGCTTTTCAGACTCTTTCTCAGAGCTATGTGACTACTTCTAAAGAGTGCTCGGTGCAGTCCTGTCTCTACCAGTTCACGTCCATGGAGTTACTAATGGGCAACAACAAGCTTCTCTGTGAGGACTGTACGGAAAAGAAACAGAAGTGCCAAAGAGAAACCAGCTCTGCAGGTAACTTCAAGCTTGCTTGTTTCTAGGTTACTGATGGATTCTAGGTTACTGTAGGTGTTGAGTGGTTATAGGCGCTTAATGGGGCACTCCAAGGACCTGTGTGCATTGAGCCCCTTGGCACAGGCCTTGTCTTTACTTATCTGTCTCTGCACTCAGGACACTGGCCGGGCAAAGTAGATTCCCAGATGTTGCAGTAACCAAAGAGCAAAAAGAACATGTCTCTGTCTTGTAAACACAAATCTATTTATTCTAATATGAGGGATTTGAAACATTTCTGAAATATCCTGAAAACTTATAGTTGAATCACTAGTGGGATTTGAGATTACTGGTCTTCACAAAATCTCATCAATTTATTCTAAAACCAAGATACATTATTTGATGTTCTTACATATGTTTATGCCATGAATCTAGTGTTTGCTTGAGAAAAGTAGGGACTCTCACCTGATGAATTTTCAGTACATCACTAGTGACTGCATTGTTGCTTAGGATGGAGAGAGGGCTTAGTAGGCAAAGGGTTTGCTGAATAAGCATGAAGACCTGAGTTCTGATCCCCGGCACCTGTGTAAAAGCCAAGTGTAGCGCCATGCCTGAAATCCTAGCACTTGGAAGGAAAAGCCGGTGGATGTCCGTTGTTACATGGTGAGCTCCAGTACAGTCAGGGCTACATGCAGAGACCCTGTCTTTAAAAAAACAAAAACAGTGGTGGTGGTGGTAGCACATGCTTCTAATCCCAACACGTAATTTCAAGGCTAGCCTGGTCTACAGCATGAGTTCCAGGACAGCCAGGGCTACACAGAGAAACCC